AATTGTTACACAAAGCCAGGTTTTTGATTGCTAAAGTTGGGTTCTTTTTGTAAAATGCATGTGATGCAGATAGAGCAGCAAAGAGTTCTGGGCGCAGGAGTTAGGTACCCAATGCACCAGAATTGAAGGGAAAAAAGAACCAAAAAAGGGTATGATTTGGGAGAGAGCTTACCAAAAAAGAACATTGGAAAACCCTATTTCTTTTTCTCTCCCAAAAGCTGGCTTTATTGTTGCAACCTTATATTCAAATTAATCATACTATATTTGATTCTCTCTTTCTTTTTTTTTCACTTATTCACATTAATCTCAAGCTCTTATACACATTGATACTTTTTTCCCTTATTCATACACATTTTTTCGTTTATTTGCATCCTCGCCTTTGTTAGTGATTATAGTTCGGTCATCACCATTACCGCTCCATTATTCGCTAGTTCATGGTTGTGTTCATAGATTGAGTTGAATTAGATCAAAAAAAAAAAAAAAAATTAAACCAATCCAATTACTTTGTAAAATTTTTCAATTATTAAATTTAATCTAGTCAGAAATTTTTGAGTTGGGTTAGTTTAAGGGATTTCCATCCTTTATTAAAAGATATATATATAAGATAATTAAAAATTATTTTAAAGAGTGATTATAAAATAAATAAATAATGAATAACATTTTATTGTATATTTTAAAATTGACAATAAATTTGGGTTAGTTCGTTCAACCCAATCTAGTTTTAAGAAAACTCGTATGGAATTTATTTAAATTAAATTTATAATTCAATTCAAACCGTTGATTAGATTATTTAGGTTATCTAAGTGAGTTAAAATGTGTATATTGTAAGAATTTTTAAAATTAAAAAAAAAATAGAATTAGTATTTAATGTGAAATTAAGTAATTTCTTTTTTTTTTATAAAAATTAATGTTATAGAAAAGAAAAAAAAAACGTGTGACCTAAAACATTATATATAAAATAAAGTGGGTCCCAAAGAAACTTCTTTTATTTATTTATTTTTTTCGAAGGGCATATAAAATTTATTTTTAAAAAAAAAAAACAAAAGAACTAAATTATAATAAATATTTGGGCCCACTGCATGCCTATCACTTTGACCATATGGGCACTTGTTCTTTGGGTCGCCTTTTGACTTCTCATTCTTCACATATTAAATTAAAATTTAATATGCAATGATTTAGACTCTTAATTATAAATATAACATTTTATAATGATTTAAATTTCGTTCGAGAGACGAATTAGGTTGAGTTGAGTTTAAAAAATCGTTTAGACCAATTTGAAATTTCGAGTTTGTTGAGTTGGTGACCCGAGTAACCTAAATATAACTCATTACCCAATTAAACCCTCCATTCTCGATTGAGTTAGATTATTTTTATTAAGGATTCTATTTATCCACCATACATGTTACAGTAACATTTATAAGTCACAACACATCATTAACCTCGATTACCAACTACAAATATTCTTTAATCTTTTTAATAGTAGGGTTGGATTGGTTGTTAACTCTCTTCTCGGGTTGGTTTGGTTGACCCTACTAAAAAAATGTCAACCCAATCAAAACCGAAAACAAAAAAAAAAATCTAACTCAACCCAACCTTTATGGTTTGGGTTTGGTAGTTAGGGTTAATCGAGTTATCAAGTCGTATGAACACCCTGACATATAATTTAGACAAATTTCCTATAAATACATGGTAATGATATGATATTTAATATACATATACAACCTAAACATCGACCACACAAAATCTAAGGTTTTTCATCTCAAGTTTAAAAATTTAAGTCTAGTAGTATCAAGTTATCTCTCTAAATCAGCTTATTCACTAGATTGTTAAGTCGTCGAGTCCTCTAAAGTTGACCGACCCCTTTTAAGAAAATTTATCCAAAACGTACGATCTCGTTAATTCTAGAGAGGAATCCATTATACATGTAGTTTCTATAAATTTTTCTAAGAAAACGACAAAACCTAATCGTAAATAGTATTTTTCTTTTAAATTTCATTCAAAATCATTTAATCATATCAAATATTTTATTCTTACTTATATAACCAAATCTCTCACATTTTTAAAAAATGTCAACGAATAATTTAGTTCAACAATATATAAAAGAATTTAAAAGTTATAGAATATTAAAAGAAATTTATAATTTAATTGAAGAAAATTAGAAACCGTTGCTTTGTTGGTGGTCACATTTAGACTTTTTGAGCAAAAAATGGGAATAAAGTTTGAAAGAGCATAAGGTCAAACTTAGGGTAGCAAATTAATGAATGGTGTTAGGGCAAACATACCCTCTAAACTCAACCTTTAACCATATTAATAATATTAATAAACGGTTTCTATTTTATATTAAAGACTTCGATTATAAAAAATATTCGGATGGTCGGATGCAAGTGAGTGAAAATAAAACATCCTAAAATCACCCAAGTTGGTCTCTACGGATAGTAGAATACATGTGAGTAAAGACAAAACATCCTAAAACGACACATGTTAGTTTATGGACATAGTTTTCACTTTTAGAAACAATGAATAAATAATAGTAGTCATGTTCCAGGAATGTTTTTAGACGCTTCTCTCATTGTAAAGATTTTAATTAATTAATTATATGAAGAAAAAAAAAAAAGACAAAATGAAACTTTATTACCTTTTTTGTCGGTGGAAAATAGATTAAAGTGGTTCACCAAATTGATTAAGGAGTTTGCTTGCTTTACAAAACGGAAAGTTCTTTACTGCAACTATATAAATATTTTTTAAATTATTATTGACCCATAAAATATTAAATTAAAATAAATAATAATAATAATAGTAATAGTAAATGACTTACTTATCACATTTTTTAATATACCCTTTTTAAAAAAACATGAGCCCCGCAAACAGAAACGTCGCCTTCTAGATTACGTTAACAAAATTAGATTCCTATAATGTTGACTTTTTTATTGTAAGGTTAATTTCGTAATTATATTCAAAAATTAATTGCCTTTATTTTTATTTTTTAAATTATAACTATGATTTATTTTATCCAAATAATGGTTGGAAAAACATGAGAAAATCCAAAAAAATAAAATAAAATTAATTAATTATTGAAAAGATAGATTTTTCAAAATGAATGGTAAATTTTAATTAAATATTAAAAAAGATTAGTATCTAAAAGAAATTATTTCAACCAAACATTCAAATTTTTCGATAGATAGAATTAAATCATAAAGTTAAAATTTTGAGAGTAAAAGTTATGAGATATTCTTTTGATTCGGAGCCTATTGCCAGGAAAGTGTCATATACCCATGTGTCTTTTTATTTTTATATATTATTTTTCAAGAAACAACGTGTTAAATGTATTTTTTAAAAATATTTTCTTTCAATTTTGAAAAATAAATTAAATTATATGACGGTCCAAAATAGATAAAAATAAAATTATAAGTATATAAGTAAGTGAATGTCCACTGTAGACAATATTACCCTGTTATCGTAAAAGTTCATTTTTTCTAATCAAGTCAGGTCGGTCTATTACTAAAAAAAAATGAATTAAAAAAAATTCTCATTTAAAAGATGGTTAATTAAATAAGTAAAATGTCTGTGTTAAATGAATGGGTTTCATAATAGAATCTTCCGTTGAAGAAAAAAAAAAAAAACTTATTACGTAGAAAATATGGTAATAGATATAATTAAGGGTTGAATAAATTTCGAATTTGATTATTTTTTATTATCTAAATTATATACTATCTTAAATGATATTATAATAATGGTACGTAAAGTAAAGTTGATATTATATATAGAAAAACAATAATAAAGCAAAAAGCATATGAGAATTGGTTAATGTGTCCACGTAAAGTGAATTTTAAAATATCTCTCCTTTTCATATCCATCACGTTTACATCGTTGGCAATTTTTCAATTTTATCATTTTTTTTTTCATTTTTCCACTCATTTTAATAAATAATATAATTTCTTTTATATGTATTTAATGAAATTTAAAGTTAATGGTAGAACAAATTACTAAATTTTATTCATATTTTGACATAATACTTTTTTTAAATTAATTTTTTCTCCAATAAATTTATACTTGTTTAATCATAATTTTTTTTTTTTAATAATTTTCAATAAATGTTTAAAGCTTTAGTCAAATTAAAAAAAATAATTAATTTTTTTTTTAAACTTTGGTTAAATTAAAAAAAAAATACTTTTAGAAAATAAATAATAAAGTAAATTTTTTTAGATAAAAGTAATTTTTTGAGGTTATATTTTGGTATGGAATTTGAGGAAAATAACTTGAACTTTAAAAATAAAAATATTTTAGAGAATAATGACAGCTAAACAAATATTCATGTGATTTGACGAATCAAAATAAAATATTAGAAATACATATAAACCAAAAAAATAAACATAAATTTTTTGATTCAACTATACATTTTCTGTCGGCATACTATGGTTGCTTCCTTTTTTTCATTATATATTATTTTTATTTCTATTGAGGTATACTTTTTAAAGACTAAAATATATGTTTTTATTTATTAATTTAGCTTCTATAGTTCAAAAGATATTTATTTAGTCCCTTACATTTTATTTTTATATTATACCGTTATTATGTTCTTTTAATTTTCGTACAATGTTGTCTCGGACATCAATAATGAAACTACATTCATGTACTCGACACAATAATCCTTCTCTCTTAATGAAAGATCACGAATCTTTCGGACTGTAGCATATCTATAAAGTGTGTGAGATTGGAGGCCGGTTAGAGAGAAGAACTAAGGAAAAGTTCTAGACAAAAAAACTCAAAAAAACAATATTTACTATCAGTGAGCGAGGGTTGTGGATAGGGGTGACGACAAAAAGTGGTGCAGAGAGGGCCCCCAACTTCACATTTGTAATTTATTGAGATTAAAATATGAATGCTTAGGAGTTGCAACACGTCAAACTTTATGGTCCGCGTTCATTATTTTCAAACCAGACCCACCACTCTCATCACTTTCCAATTTTTGCTGTTTTTAAGCAGTCATGCCGACCCTTTAAATTCTGTCCCCTTCTCATTCTTCTCCACTCCCACACTTTCCATCTTCTTCATAAAAGGACAGACCTTTCTGTTTCTCTGCATCACCACTAACCCACCCAAATGAAGGTTTCTTCCATTGATGACTCTGAGTTTTCCTGTAATAGAATTGGATCCACTCCCACCGCCGACACCCACTTCACTGTCATGAAAACGTCTCTCTTCTTCGCCGGCGACGGCTTCACTGTCTATGACTGCGAAGGCAAGCTCGTCTTTCGAGTCGATTCCTATGGCCCTGATGCTCGTTACAGGGATGAACTAGTTCTCATGGACCCTCATGGTCGTTGCCTCTTCACTGTCCGCCGCAAGGTAATTTGTGTTTCTTTTTCCTTCATTTAAAGTGGGTTTTCATCTAATTTTGGATTTGGGTTCTTGTTTGTTTGAGTTATTGACTCTGTTTTTTTTTGTTTTGCTCTGTTTTTCCGAAAACAGAGACCGAGTTTGCATCAACGGTGGGAAGGGTATCTTCGGGAGAGGATCAACGGGCAGAAACCGGTTTTTGGAGTGCGACGGTCGTCGATCATCGGACCGTCGAGTTTGACGGTGGAGATGTATGGAAATCCCGGTAAGGAGTATCAGATCGAGGGGTCATTTGGGCAGCGTTTATGCACAGTTTTGAATGTGAAGAAAGAGGCGGTGGCTAAGATTAGAAGGAAAGTTGATGCTTCGACTAATGTCGTGCTTGGAAAAGATGTCTTTTCCCTTTCTGTAAAGCCTGGTTTTGATGGGGCTTTTGCTATGGCTTTGGTGCTTATTCTTGATCAGATAAGCGGTGATGAAGGGATTGGTGGCGAACCAGATCGGACCCTAGTTTGATTTTGAGGGCTTGTTTATTTGATCGAGCCATTGGCTCCTCTACTTTTAATGCCGTTGTTTATAGTTTTTTTGGATGGTGATGAATGTGTACATTTAACCATTTATAGCCTGAAATGGAAATAATGGAATTTGAATATCATCATCAAACAAAGCCTTAACTTTGTGTTACATTGTTGAAATGTTGTGTTGAAAAAATGAAAATCAATCCGTTGGTCTCTTAAAAATTCAGATAATCACTGTTAAAGAATTTACAGAGTGCTTGATCTTGAGGTGGTTGTGTTGATATGTCTTTGAAGCTTGATTCTATGATGCAAGAATCAGCATCAGAACAGCAGAGGAAGCTGTGAGAATCATTGAATAAGAGCAGCCAAATCCAAGGTTCTGCGAGTTTTTGATATCCAAAAGTAATTAGTTAAGGTTTATATGATAGCAATGAGTAGAAACATGTGAAAAAGTTACCTTGAAAGAGAGAAGAGATGAGGGTGCTGCAGAGGAAGGTTTGAGTCCGGTGAAGCCAATATTGTATGAAATGCTGCCATCGGCCTTGAACAGCCCGAAATTCCTCTCCGACGTTGGCCCCGGTTTCGAGTTCTCATTGAAGAGAGCAAAAATGTAAGCCCTGACGACGGTTTTGGGGCGGTAAGGAGTTCCCTTCTTCTTCATCAACTTCTTACGTAGATTTTGATTGTATGTCCTTGCATTTTTCAAAGTAGCACCAGCTTCGTTCTCATCCCCATGAGAAGCCCAGCCAGTCTCGGAGACAATGACGGGCATCTTCGGGTAGCCAGCCTTTTCGAGTGCAATGTAAGCTGCATCAACTTGAGCGTCGAACATGTTATCATAATGGAGATTGGTTTTGGAATCAAAGATGCCCTTGTTCTTCTTGAAGAGTGCATAGTCGATATCAATATGTTGAGGGTCATTCTTGTAAGCCAAGAAGGGATATGCATTAATGAAGAAAGGGGAGCCAATGAGGTTGAAGAACTCCAAAAGAGGCTTCATAAATGGCACAATATCTTCCTTGAAAATGCAGGATGAAGGTGGAAATGAATTTGCAAAAACAGCTTCTGAATGTGGACTTGAAACTTGCACAATGCTTGTCAATTGAAGCCTATAAAGAGCATTGTAAACATTTTTAACTGCAGGCACAAGAACTTCCCACAGCTCAACATCAGTTCCCCCCAACACCTCGTTCCCAACCGCGATCCCTCGTATATGAGTGTCCGGGAGAAACGCCTGAACATTCTCTTTAATCCAGTTCATCGCACGATCCTCCCCGACGCTTATGTCTTTCAGATATTCATTCCCGAGACCGACCACAATCTCAATACCTGAACCTTTGAACGCCGACAGGACTCCATGATCAGCATCATAGATTCTTATGTTCTTTATCTTTGCAGCTTTCAGAAGTGTCACCACACTTTCAGGAGGTGGTATATTATCTGCTATTCTTCCATAATTCACTCCATACGTCCAACCTGCATCCACTCCTGTAAAGCAAAACCAAAACAAAACGCCACAGTTAGCCATAATTCAAACCATAATTTTAGGACAAAAACATTACCTGTTTGCTGGAACACACCATTTAGGAAGATGCCACAAAAGAAGATGAGGAAAAGGGAAAAAGTGGTCATTTGTGAGGAGGGGGCGCAAAAGGAGAAGGAAAAGAGAGTTCCTTTTGTAGAAAAAGACGTGGGGTTGTGGCCTAATGGGTTGCCTCTAATGTTTTGTAGGCCAAAAATAGTAGCAGGAGGTCGTTCCTGAGGCCATGGCTTTACAAAAATGGATAGATTCTTAGCCTTCGTTCAAAGATGATTCAAAGTTTGATGAGGAGGAAGAACATTCTTTGTTGTTTATTCTTAGTTCCATGAAGGGAAAGAGTGGAGTTCGTTTTAAGGCGGCATAGAATAGATTCTTCCCTTTCTTCTCACTTTTATCTTTTCATCTGCTACTTTTCTTGGAAAATCTTCATTTTCTGTGTTTTTTTTTTTTTTTTTTTTTTTTTTTTTTTTTTTTTGTTTTACAGATGTTTGATGGGGTTTGGAATATCCATTTCCTTTTGCTTTGGGGACACTTTCTATTCTCGTGTTACAACAAAGATTGAGCAAATGCTTGATCTTTGAAACACTTTCATTTCAGTGTGATGCTTAAAGTTTTTAGAGGAAAAGAAAAGAATGATGGGGTAATGTCTGAATTCTAATCAAAACAATGATTTCCACTGCAGAATTTTGAACATACTATCAAAATTTTTATTGGGTCGTTGAGAAAGAACATATTCAAGGAGAAAATGTGAGATTCAGCGTCGGTTGAAGAGGGGAACGAAGCATTTCTTATAAGGGTGTGGAAACCTCTTCCTAACAGACGCGTTTTGAAACTTTGAGCTTGACAAGGATACGTAATGGGCCAAAAACGGACAATATTTGTTAGTAGTGGACATGGGCTGATACAAATGGTATCAGAACTAGGCACTGGGTGATGTGCCAACGAGGACGTTCAGCTCCCCAAAGAGAGATGGATTGTGAGATCCCACATCGGTTGGTGAGGAAAATAAAACATTCCTTATAAAGGTATGGAAACCTCTTCTTAACAGATGCATTTTAAAACCTTGAGGTTGACGACGATACGTATCGGGCCAAAACGGACAATATTACTAGTAGTGAGCTTGGATTGTTACAAATAATATCAGAGGCAAACATTGGGTGATGTACCAGTGAGAACACTGGACCCTAAAAAATGGTGGATTGTGAGATCCCACGTCGGTCGAAGAGGGGAACGAAACATTCCTTATAAAAGTGTAGATATCTCTCCCTAACTTACTTGTTTTAAAACGGTGAGACTGACGACGATACATAATAGGCCAAAATAGACCATATTTACGAGCAAAACAAAAGATATCTCTCACCCATGTTAAATTAGAAGGCGATTAACATTAACATTCTACAGTCTTCAAAAGAAGTCTGGTGAGCAAAAAAACAAAGCTACAGATTCTAATATCTAAATCTAACAACTACAAGTTCTCTTTTTGGTAAATACATACGAAAACTAAAGCTACCATCACCGTGGGAGAGCGTAAACACTTGCAGAAACAAAGATCGAGTCGTCGAGACCGCCAAAAAGTCAGCAGACAGTTGTGATATGCACTGCATCGATCCATCAATCGTCCTAGTTAAAGCTTACCATTTTCTTTCATCAAGTTATCGTGTTCAACGCTTCGGTCCTCAGCCTCAACGTTACATTTTGCACCATTTGTTGAAACATCTTCATTACCCTTAGTCACATTGTCTGGTGTGGCTGCAGTTTCGTTCTGATCATTCTGTTTAACTCCCTCCATGACTCTGACGACATTGCCAGGATCGTTTTCGTTTTTGTTTTCGTTTATGCATTGGTTAACCTCACTAGCAACAGCAACAGAGTATTCAGTAGGTGTGACTATTTCTGCTACTTCATTTCCTTGCTTTTCAGCTTCTTCCAATCCCTCAGTTTCCACTTGAATCGCATCTTGACCGTTCGTTTCGCCACCGTTTTCATTCGTTTCGTCGATACCGACAAATTCAGAGTTCACAACTACATCTGAACTTCCATTTTGATCTTGCTTTTCACCTTCACCAGCATCACTACCCCTCTCATCTTTACTCCTTATGTCTGGATTAGCATCTCCTTTTTCACTTTCCTTCAATTCGTCTTTCGGGTTATCTCCATTTTCAGCTCGACGAGTATCAGAACCGTCTTTATCCTTCTCATTCCCCTCTACATCAATCATTTCAATTTCTTCAAGAACTATGGGAGAAGCAATGGCTTCCTCCTTATAGTCTTTCTTAGAACCAGAAGATTTTCGACTCCGTTTCTTCGGAGGCTCCTCTTTCGGCGGAGTCGCCTTGACCTTCTCACTAATTCTTACAGATCTTCTAGGTGCCTCACCCGTACTCCAATCGAACTCGGATATCGCCGGAGCATCAGAATGCAATTTTAAGTACTGCTCTAGCAGTTTTCTGCTACTAAATTCTTCACCAGTTGGAGCAATGAATACAACTTGACTCTTCCTTGGTGTACCTGCCTTGTTGGGTATGAACTAGACAAGCAAAAGGTACTCATGGTAGATTTAGCTGCCTTCTTGGGTATGAACTAAACAAGGAGCTTTCAAAAGAATTAAACCCTAACAATTTTCCAAACAAGCCCAAAAACTAAAACAGAGTTCCAAAGCCAAAAAAACACAAACTTTACCACAAAAAGAGAATATTGAGAAGAAATTCACAAGACCCAGAAACAAGAACATCAATCTTAAACGAAAAGGAGTTTCTTTCTTGCAAAAAAAGACCTAAATTGAGTAAAAATTTCAAACTTTTAGAGAGAGAAAGAGATACCAGTTTCTTCCAGGTAGCTGGGGCAGGAAGCTCCACAGAAATGGTTTCATCCATGGCTGCTGCAGCTTGAGTTTGAGCTTCGTTTTCCACCATCATAGCTCCCTCTGAAACTCTCCTTTCTTTTCAGTTTCTGTTCTTGTGTGGCCAAAATAGAACACATTAACCGTTGAGGAGTGTGTTCTTTGGTGGTTAGTCCTAAAATCCAAAAGGGCATTTGCTAAAACTACCTTCACACCAAAACCCATCTGCGTTTTGTCCAATCAGATGAGGGATGATCTTCAAATCCTTTGATCTTCACCACGTGTCGAGATCAGAGAAGCGATTACAAGGGTTTGGACTGAACTCGGCGACAGGGCAAGTTGTTTCTGGGTGGAGCTTAAAAATCCCATCTTTTTTTGTTTCTCGGCCATCAAGGCGGGCAAACAAAATCCAGAGATTCCGAAATTCCTTTTTTTTTAATTTTTATTTCTTCATTATCCTAAAATATTTTAAAAATGGGAAGCAATCCTTGTTTTCCCGCACTATGTTTTGGAGATATGGGGAGGAGGAGAAGCGTGGTGACCGTCGTGGAGCCACCTGTTTATCCGGACGTGAAAGGCTCTGGATTGCCTTACTCTTAAGGGAATTGAAATGTGGGGTTTCACGTCCGAATCTGTCGGTGTCGTGTAATTTATGTAATGTGATATTGGCATAGGTTTCAAGTTTCTTTCTTGGAAGAAAGAAACAGTTTTTACTGCTTTAATTGGAATTACTTTCAGACTTCTATTTTTTTATTTTTTTACTGATCAAAATTACACGACGGTGATCTCTTTAACATCCTTTGGGGGCATCTCAGTCCTTGGAATGGTGATCGTCAACACCCCATCTTTCAGCTCCGCCTTGATCTCATCCGCCACCGCGTCCTCCGGCAGCATCACCGTGCTCTCATAGTACCCATATCTCTCCCCACTCCACCCACTTTCTTCTTCTTCATCTTCTTCACTGTGCTCCCCTCTGATGCTCAGAATCCGACCCTCCACCCTCACCTTCACGTCCTCCTTCCCAATCCCAGGCATCTCCACCCTCAGCTTGTACCACTCTTCTTGCTCTTTCACATGCCCACTGGATACCCACCATGGACGCCTCAACTTCAAGCTCTTCAATACCCTGTTTATGTTCTCAGCCGCTTGCATCAGTGAATTCCCCACATCAAATTCTCTCCCGTTCTTCTTCCATAATACCCACTTCTTGCCTTCCCCTTTCGGGACCATTTTGGTGTTTTTGTCTTCATTATTAATGGCCACTTCTTTGGGATTGCCTTCTGAGCTCTGATCGCAGAACCTTCTGATCAGGGCCTCTGTTCGCCTGTGGAGCAGAGAATCAGCAGGAGAGGAAACGAGCGCCCTTTGCTGCAAATTCTTCAGAGCCAATCGAGTCAGGGCCATGGGGAATGAGTATTCAAATAGAGAAGTGGAGTGGGCTCTGTTGTTAATGTGTTTTGGTGTAAAGATGGTGGTGGAAGAAGATATAATAAAGACACGAGGGGAGGGGGAGAATCTGGAAGGTGAGTCCAGAAGTGTCGTTGGCAGGTGCTAGTCCATGGCGAAAACATGTGTCGGTCCTGTCCTGTGCATGTTTCATACAGCTTCCAGTTGTTTCTCAAATATACCATCAACACAGAGATGGGTTTAATCCAATCCAACCACATTTCCATTATGGCTACCAACAGAGCCTAAAGCATCAGCTATTTTACTTATGGCCCAAAATTTCAGATTTCTACCCGCATAAGTTTAAAGAATTAATAGAATAAGTCCAAGTAAGAGTACCAATCAATATGACTAGTCATATTTTTCAAGATTGGATCACGCAAACGTTTGCAAGGGAGGAGCTTTCCTCCCCTTATAAAAAAATGTCTCGTTTCCTCTCTCCAACTAATGTGAAATCTCAGAATCCATTTTCCTTCGGGACCCAATGTCCTCACTAGTACTCGTTTCTCTCTACTATCGATGTGAGATCTCACAATTCACCCCATTTTGAAGCCCAGCGTCCTCACGGCACACCGCCCAATGTTTGGCTTTGATACCATTTGTAACAAACCAAGCCTACCGCTGACAAATATTGTCTTCTTTGAATTTTTCTTTTCGAGATTTTCCTCAAAGTTTTTAAAACGTTTCTGATAGGAAGAGATTTTCATATCCTTACAAAGAATGTTTCGATTCTCTCTAACTAAAATAGGATCTCCCAAAGACAAAACAAACCAACTAGATAAAAATTAACTAGAAAATGTTGCTTAAAAAATAGGACATAGTTTTGAAAGCTTTCAATAAGAGTTTGTAGAAGAAACTAGTAAATTATTTTCAGTATGGAATGGAATAAATGGTTCATCAAAAATCTTATTACAGCTTCATAACCAGAAGTCAAAATTTTCCAGAAGAATTTATGACAATAAAACAATTTCGGTTATGGAAAAGAAGAGAAAGTTGGAGAGTTTGGGGGTTACACAATCATGTAGAATCATTCTACGGTGGATGCATTGTGGAAAGAGATAACCATCTCGAAAGGCTATTGATATTATTATAATTTCCTTTAGATATTTCAATATGGTTGCTTTAAATGATCCTAACAAACTAGACTTGGATTTAGACTTGGCGTTTAAGGATAGAAAATGAAGTTGGAGCCTTCGCTCTTGGTGCCTTTAAAGCTATGGCAACACAAGTTAAATCAAGCGAAGCTCCATAAGTTCATAGCACAAATGAGAACTTACCATGATTTACATATGAAGTGGGAACATTAGCTTCGCTAGTGTCCCCCCTGTAATTGGTTGGATTTAACTGATGAATAGCCTCCTTCGACTGGTTAGCATTGTTGTCCATATCGTGTGACAGCCCAAGTCCACCACCGCTAGCAGATATTGTCCTATTTGGACTTTCCCTCAAGGTTTTTATAACGTGTCTGCTAGGGAGAGGTTTCACACCCTCATAAAGAATGTTTCGTTCTCCTCCCCAACCGATGTGGGATCTTACAATCCACCTTCTTTCGGGACCCAACATCCTCCCTCTTCGGGGCCAACGTCCTTGTTGGCACACCGCCTCGTGTTCACCCTCCTTCGAGGCTCAGTCTTCTCACTGGCACAACGTCCGGTGTCTAGCTCTTATACCATTTGTAACATCCCAAGCCCACCACTAGCAGATATTCTTCTCTTTGGATTTTCTCTTTCAGGCTTCCCCTCAAGGTTTTTAAAGCGTATATGTTAAGGAGAGGCTTTCACACTTTTATAAAGAATGTTTCGTTCTCCTCACCAACCAATGTGGGATCTCACATCGTGTGTAGTCAAGATTTCAAAATATGTTACAAAGTCACCTCGATTCCACGAACTACTACAGTAGCAAGCTTAGACTTGATATGATTTTCAATGCATCCAATGCTCTATTACAAACTACAGTTCGTCAAAATACTCATTAGAACCAGCCACATCATGGTGGATGCTCTATTACAAACTACAGTTCATCAAAATACTCAGAACCAGCCACATCATGGTTCAAAATCATAGTGAACAAGAGAAATAAAAAATCAAAAGGGGAAAAGAAAATGAGAAGAGGCATTCATTCAAGCATGAAAGAAATCTTATTCACATTTCCCCAATAGAGAGATTCCATTAAACCATAAGATCTTTGAATTTCCAAGCTATCAACAACACCATTAAACCCCTCCTTTCATTTTGCCAAATTTTCGAGGCAACCAAACACAGAGCCAATAACCCATTTCACACACAGAACAATGTCACACACAATCACATCAATCAAATAAATTCAAATTCCAAAACAGCAAAAAAGAACTTACCCCATGTTAGGGCAACGTATATAAAGCAAACCCAGAAGAACAGAACGGATCCACAGAGCACCAAACCCGATTCCAGGAAGAAAATATCAGAGAAACCGCCTCTAGAAATCAAAAAGATTCACGGGTGTAAAGATAAAAGCAGAAACAAAAGCAAATTTGAGAAATCTGCAGAAATTGAAACTTTCGAGGAAAAAAGTGGTCGACCTGAATGAACAACAATATCACGGGTCGCCTCTCTCCTGCTCCCTGAAATCCAAAATGCCCTCTTCCATGATTCACAAGCTCAGCTTTTCCACCCCCCTTTCTTCTTCTACCTTCCCTTCTTCTCTGGTTAGCAGGAAATTGGTGGAAACATAGAATAGGTTCCCTTGGTAAATATTTTAAATACTTAACTTCAGTTTATCACTGATTTTTTAGAAAACTTCCAAATCATCATTTGATTAAAAGCTTATTAGAGATCATTGTTTTAATTAACCCAACTATTATTATTATTATGTGATGTTATTATGTTTGTCCATGGTAAAATACAAATATTAGTCAATCTCATAATCATTTGGTTTTGTCATATGACCATAGACACAGAGACACGAATGTCGATAAAACCTAAAATAGAATAAAAATCGAGGCGGCATGTTAGTAAACAATTTCATATTTCGAATATATTTATGAGTCAACATTCAAAGGTTTAATTTATTTGCGTGAGTAAACAGCAAAAGAGTTCTACGTGAAATATGATTCTCGACTCATAACTAAAGTATGAAGTCTACATCTTCTAGAGGACCAGACGAAAATAAGTACATATTCATTTAACATGAGTAAACGTGTCACCATGGTTACCTGGTCCATAAAAATTACTTTAATTTTTTTTTTTTTTTGACAATTTAATTAAATTAATTAAAATATTACCCATTATTTGGGCTAAAGGATTCTTCCTTGTAATTATTTTTTTATTTTATCTTTTTAATATTGTAAAGTGGATACATTTAATCCAAAGAATTACTTTTGGTTGGAATGGAATAGCTTTTGGAGTAAAAAAGTGATGGAATTTTTCACCTGGTCAATTGTAAATTTATAACTTCTTTATTAGATATGGTTAAAATCTTGATGGCCATCACCATAGAGATTCTCGTCAAAATCACGACTTATTTTGTATCATTAACTAACTCACCCGACCATAAATCATTTATCTTTATTTAAAAGAAACGTTAAAAAAAAAATTAAAAACATTTAATAAGTAACTTCACGGTTGAGATTAACAAATACAATAACTCTACTTTCAATTTTATGTATAATTAGAAACACAATAGTTCTCTACATATGACTTTGCACATGCACATGGACCTACTAGGTAAGCACCGTTATCATATTCTATAGGCTTGACTATGAGCTAACTAGTGTTGGCTTATTGGCCCTTGATCTCACATTAATTAATTTCAATGAATTAATTATTGATGTTTTGATGATAACAAACCTACTTTTAATTATTAACTATTTTCAGTTTTTTGAACTGTCCACAGTATAAGGTCGGGAATAACGATTACAACAACTTTTCAATTACTCAAATCAGAGCTAAAACGAAGAAATTAGAGTCGAGACAACATACCCGACGTGATGATGTGGCAACAAAATCAAAATGATGGACAAATCAAAATATATCAAAGTATGACATTTATAATATTGGAAGAGTAACACATGGTGGAGTTTTTCTTATTATTACATTTCTAAATAAAATTATTTTTACAAATATAAATTTGAATATAACCGTTACT